CCCATAACGGTCATTTCATGCAGATCTTCCACGCCCCACCTGTGGTGTGGGTGGTTGTCAATTATTGAATTGTTGAGATGATTCAGATCTTGCCCTGGCCCCGCAGACGGACAGGCTGCAACTCTGGGAGTAAGCGACTCTGATCTGGAAGTGCCTGAACCCTGCGGCAATTCAGCATTGACTTCTTCAGGTTGAAGAAATCTTCCCCTTTCCCCGCAGTGAGCACCATCCCTATGACTTCCTGGAATTCTTGCAATCTGCAACGTCAACAAAGTGACAGTCAAGAGAATCAAGAGAATTGTCACCAAGACTCCCACCATCACGGTGATTGTTGGCATCGAACAATCAACCGGGCGGTTCTCAAAATTATGGGGATTATGGCACCTAATATGTAGGGGTACCAAAATGGGACCCTGCTTTGGGGAACTAAACCCTAAACCCAAAAACGTCGGCGGGATGGTGAGCCCGAGGTGCAGGATCCCTGCAGCTCTCGACACGTTTTTGACGCGTGGCGAGGACACGAGGGTCCAAAAGAGACGACGATTAAGAGGGTGATCCCCATCCATGTGACGGTTGTTGACACTGTTGACACGTATGGCAAGACCCGAGAACCGGGATCAAAAACAAATCTATACATATATATCTATGTATATTTATGTGTGTGTCTAATATTGTACTGATCACAATTGATGGGTAAGGCCTAACCTAGCCTGAACCTTAAACCCTACAACCTAACTAATGCACCCTTCACCGGCAGGCCTGGAGCCCCGACCGATCCGGCGACGTGGGCGCCGTGGAGACGCGAGAATCGACGCTGCCTGGTGCTGGGATTGGTGGGGTTTAGTTTTCAGGGGCCGCCGAGCTGCTGCGAAGGAACTTGGATGCAAATACCAAATATGAATATGGACTAAATGATGCGGGCTCCGTATGATGCCTTACGTAAATTCAGTTTCTTAAACAGCAACACACGTCAGGGTTCGGGGTGCTCAGCAAATCAAGGTTTTGGAATTTGCGTCCTGGGGCTACGCCTTGAAAGTCTGAGGTGGAGATGGGATAGAATTTGTTCCATCTTCTCAGTCCCCCACTATTTGGGTCACGTACAGGCATGTGACAGATAGGGCTTTGGGACGCACGTCCCTTGAGAGAAATGGCTAATTTGCATGTCCCGTTTGCAGTGTCTCAGGGCTCACAGATCCTGAGCGTCGCTCGAGCGGGGCATTGCGTTTAGTGCCTTAAAGATGCCAATGGTACAGCACACGGCTGGGCACAAAAAATCACCCTCCTCAAAGAAGAATGGAATGCCAGGTCCCAGGTCTTCTGATTTTGTGATTTTGCAAGGACAGTAATCTCAGGTAGTCCTTATACAAGGCCTGTCACTAAAAGCTGGTACCCAAAACCCCTTCCCCCAAACCATCCCAAACCTAGTTAGTCACATCCCTCTGGGTCGAAGATTTTGATTTTTTGGGGCGGGCACGATCATCCCTATAATTCCTCCTGCATCTAATTAGAGGGAATGGGAATATCAGGGGCCTCTACGTAAGCTTTAAGCGGTAGGGCCTACCGACGCTCCCCACACTAACATGGAACCCGCAAAAGACGCCCTGTCAATATTCCCGTCCTCTTGAAAAGCAGTGTTACACTTGATTGGTGCAGGGTAGAGTGCAGGCTTGATAAATGATACAACTTTCCATTTCATGTTCCATTTGGCTCTGCATTGTTGCAGAACTTGACATATGAGTTTCCAAAACTGGGCAAACCCTAATGCGGCTCTCAAATTACCACAATCCTTTTGTAGGAACCCCAAAAAAGTAGGATTCCTATTTCAGGAAACCTTAAACCCTACATATCCCTATATAAGCATATAACCCCTACATCTCCCTGTAAAACCCTATATAACCCCTAAACCCTTTTTTGCAGGAGGCTTCTCGCACCGCCCCACACCAGGCTCGCTTTGACGCTGTAGACTGTACTCATGACAGCCCAAGCATTCAACCCTAAACCCCAAACCCTAAACCCCTATATGTACCCCTACATCCTCTTTTAGAAGGCATACTTCCTAGCTCCTGATCTGGCGGTCTGCCTCTGGCACTGAGCATCCCAGGCGCAACTCGCGGCCTCGGCTTCAGTAAGGGTCTAGGGTATAGGTATAGGGTTTAGGATTTAGTGCTCAGGGTTTAGGATAATAAAGGGTGAAGGGTTTAGGATTTAGGGCTTAGGGTTTAAGATAAAGGGTGAAGGGTTTAGGATTTAGGGTTTAAGGTTTAGGGTCTGGGGTGATCCCCTTTGAGTGTTATTTTGTGGCTTTAGGCACTTTGGTTTGGGATGATCATCTTTCAGTGTTCTTGTGGCTTTACAGACTTTTGGGTTTTGGGTTTTGAGGCTCGGGATGATCTCTTTCATTCTTATTTTGCTGCTTTATTTAGGGTCTAGGCAGTAGGGTTTAGGGTTTAGGATGTTCATAGTCATTTTGCTGTTTTAGGTTAAAGGGTTTAGGGTGTTCATTGTTATTTTGCTGCTTCAGGCCCTGGGCTTTTTGGTGTTTAGGGACTTCAGATAGTTGTGTTTTCAATGTTGTTTTGTTGTTTTAGTTTTTGGAAATCCACAAAAAGCAAGTCAAATCAATCAACATAATCCCGAAAGCGTTAAAACTCATCTAGAATTTGGGTACTGCCCCCGCCCCAGTAACAGTCTATATTAGGGGTCCTACTAAGGGCTATATATAGCCATTTTTTCAGAGAATATGCCACAGAATGGGAATTTGGGACATAGCACTACATTTCAAACCCTAGAGCCACCAAACAAGCATGACAACCCTGAACCCCTAAAGCCTAAAGTCCCTTTAGCAACAAAATAACCATGAAAACCCTGAGCCTTAAATCCCTAAACTCTAGGGCCTCTAGGGCCTAAATCCCTAAACTAAAGGGCCTAAATCCTAAAGCAACGAAACAACAATGAAACCCTCTACTCTAAATCTCGGAAGGTGTGCCACGACAGTGGCCGCTACACGTGAGAAGTGAATCTTCCGGGTTATGTGAGGATGGTATGTGCAAACCCTGGCCGATTTCCATACCATACACCTGGGGCTACCATTGAATGTTCTTCCCTTCCAGTCTTCCGTGAGACTCAGCAGCCCCAGAAATCTGGACCACCACGAGCAAAGATTCAGGAGGCTCGAACTTCACATTATAGTACATGTCCCGTTTCCCTGGGTGTGTCTGCACATGTCCTGCTCACTATGGTACGAAACCAATGGAAACCAGCTCAAACAAAAAAAACGATCTAGCATTTGTGCGCTGACCCCTTACGAAAGCTAAGACGCTCTGTGCCCAGTTGGTGCTAGTTACTATACTGGAGAAACCCTATTATTTACTATATGTACCCGTGGTAGCTTAATCTAAACTCCTTAGCAGCAACCCAGCAAAGTTCAGCCGTGAGGCCCTGAGGGCACCGGGGCAGGCAGTCGCGCTCGCTCCTGCGCAAGTAGACTGCAAGGCCAGGTCACTGCAGACTTATGGTTCAGGTCTAGATACAGGGAGAATGGAAAAGAACATTGAAGCTACTAGCATATGGGGTTTAATATGAGCGCCGGCTTTTATTTATTACCGCGGCCTTATGCGGCTTTTCTAGTCCACGGCCCCTCATCTCGTTCGCCTTATAATTAATCTTGTATTGTACCTTGACAAAATCACCTGATCTCGTTTGCCATGTTGGACCATGTATTGGCCAATTAATTATTGCAAAAGAAAATGTGCCCTATCTCCTTCAATCCACGGCCCCTATCTCGTTCCCAGAGGAACGCTGAACCCAGATGCAAAAATACAAACTTGCCTAGCCTTGTACTCTCTTACCTAAATAGATATACGGTTGCTCATATAGGGTTAAATAGGGATAACGGAAAAGAGAATGGAAACTACTAATTATATGGACGTGCAACTGACGATTTCAAGCTCCCTGGCATTCAAGGTCCCGGTACAGCTTGGGACCAATCTTGTCAAGCCCGAGCGCTCTAGCTCATGAAGGCATGAGCTGCGCTGCAACATGATTTCTTCACACTACTCACTACTGAAGAAGTATACCATCCCCACATGACAAAAAAGCTAACAAAGCACGACTCACAAGCATACTAATTGCATGTTTTCATCCTGCGCTTCAAAAATTGCTTCGTGTTTGACACGGCTGCGCGTGTTGTGCGCGCCGGCACGCTCTGCAGGCCATGAACTGCTGGAGGGTGCGCGAGTGTCAGGGTGCTGCGTGAGGCTGCACTGGGCCTTCAAACTTTGCCCACCCTGAGGCAAGGCCATGACTTCAAATCAAGGCCTTGTCCTAGTCAGTGCAGGCTATGTATACAGTCCGGCCCGCGCGAAGCCCACAATCACCTCGTGCTGATGCGGTGCGGACAGCTCAGATTTACCATCACAAAGTACCATGGCCTGTTCAATTCCTCTCCCGAGCTCATTGCGGGCGTCGCATGGGGCACATCAAGGATCCTATGCTGGGCATTGAGGCCACATGGCCCGACCTCGCGGCCGAACGGACAAGTCTTGGACCAGGGGAGTCCAGGAGTCCAACCCCAAGTTTTGTCCAAAGATGTCCAAAAATGTTCAAAGCAAAACAAGGAAAACCTCATTCTAGTGGTTCTAGTGCCCGCCGGAACATTTGGCTAGGCTTCAAACACTTCTTCAAACTGTGCTCCACTGGAGCAAGGGCCGGATTCCCTTCCGCACTCAGATTTCTTGCTCCTTCGCTCTTAAAGCACTGACAAAGTCTCAGGGTTCAAGGGGTCTCAAACACATGGCACCCCACATGAGAAGAAGCAGCTAGTCGCAAGAATGTTCTATGTCCTTCTTGTCCTCGCCCTCCTTCTTGTCCTGAACACACATTCTCAGGTGGAGGCTCCCTTCGCCTGCGCCTTTGCAAACTGCCCTGCCCTTGTGACCATGTCATGTCCAAGAGCTGGCGCACGCAAAGGGGGGATGATCTAGGCCTGGCCCTCCCCTGTCCTCGGTCCCCAGGTTCAGGAGGTCCGGCGCAGGCTTGGCCTCAGGTTGTACAGTTTCTTGCGCTGGTCAGTCGACGAAACAATTTTGTCACAGGTAACTCGCCTCAGCACCCTCATCCTCGTCGGGCAAGCTGTCCAGCAGCTTCAGCTCCTCCTCGGTGAACATCCAGCGCATGGCCTTCAGGGAAGGCAGGGAGAGAGCGCAGTCTTTTTGATGAAGCGGGGTTCCGAGAAGGCGTAGGCAATTCAGGAGTGGGCCTTGCGGATGAAAGCCAGGGAGGCCATGAAGAAGGGGAATACCACGGAAGTTTCCTTAATTGCTGTCAGGCCGCTTGAGCAAAAAGATGTCAGGATGACTAGGTCCTAGACATCAGTCAGGCTTCCTTGATTGCTTTGAGCCCATAGAGAATTGCCAAGCAGATCACCTGCACCAAGGTATAGAGGTGGACGCGGCGGATAGGAAGCTTCTGGATGTAGTGGTACTGCGGATACTTGGCGGGGTCCCAGATCAACCACAGGAACAAGCGGTCGAAGAGATTGTTGCCAGTCAAGGAGGCAATACCCATGTAGAAGAACACGCCCTGCAGCACGGCCCGTGGCAAGAATTTCAGGACCGGGGCGAGGAAGAGAGCGCACCCAATTAGTATGTGGATAAGGAAATTCGTGGCACGCTGCTCCACCACCTTGGTCGGGACCTTGCGCTCTCCCTCGGGCAGCTGCTTCACCTCATAGGTGGTCAAGGAAATGACGTGCGTGATGCTGGGCACCGTCGAGGCCACGGATAGCGGCAGGCCCAGCACAGCGCAGGCTGGGAGTGTCAGTGCCCCTCTCACGAACAAATCCAAATGGTATCCGGGCGGCTTTGCAAGATTGTTCGACGGACGATTCACGATCACGGAGGTGAGGTTCTGGTCCAAGTAGCCCAGCACGGCGAATCCAATCCTGATAGCTGATGCTAGCTGCGAGCCCTGAAGCACAACTACAACAGAACCACTTCGAAGGATCTTACAAGTATTGATGAACACCTGACTCAACAGCGCTTCAGCGTCGCAGGAAGGATTGCATACGCAATGGCCCAGGCAGGGAAAGGCTTTTCGATGCCTGCAGGGTTCACGATCCAGGGTCGCTTGCTTCCGTCCGACAACACCAGGTTCGGGGAGAAGTCCGCATCCACGCTCAGCATCCTCAAGTTGGTGTCGGTGGAGTAGATGGCTGCCAGGGCCGAAGCCGTCACCAGGGCGATGGTCACGGAGAAGTTGGCCATGAGGTTGCGGAGGGACCGGAGCAGCCAGGGCGTGCGCCGGAAGTGGGACAGGTAGGTTGCCAGGCCAAAAGTGTAAAGGAATAGCAAAGCCTGAAGGTATTCAGCTTATACTCATTGGGGTGGTGGCGATGGTGAAGCAGCACGGACAAGCAGGGTGGGAGGAGAAGGGAACCGAAACGAATATCCTAGACGACGAAAAACCGCGACAGGAGTGGAAACAAGGCCTCGAACATGGCGCTATTCAGTGCCATCCTCTTCTCCGTGAAGTTCTCGATGATAGGCCTGGCATGAGGTGCAACACGGAGCGCGTACGTGCACAGTGCCCGCACGCGAGTTTTTTCCTACTTGCAACTCAACCCTGCATGACGGTTTATCATAACGCTCCCCTGCCTCACTCCGTCGATGATGAAGATAAGGCTAATCAAGCCGGCGAAAATGTCTTCGCTGAACATAGTCACGTGCTTCATCAGAGCACACAGGTCAAAGACCGCCACCAGGATAGTGAAGAGAGCCGACCACATGCAAGTCCAGAAGTAGAAAACCATGAACTCCAGGTCCTGCCAGGTGATGTGGGGATCAACTGTGTAGTTCTTACTCCAATACTGGGTGGAAGGACAATGGCTGGAACAACTTAATAGCAAGAGCTTTGGTGCTTCAAGGGCTTGACAAGATCAGCTCGAGGTCCGACCCAACGGCCAAGTCGTAGACCACCAACGTGTAGGCCAGGAATGGTCCAGTTGCTCCAAGGATGGACAATGGCTGGCCCGCGAAGGTGGAGAAGAGCAAGCCACTAATTGCTGTACTCATGATCATTTCCAATACACCAAATTGGCCATTCGTGCCATCCAGGAATCGGCTTCCAAACCTATGGGCATCGTCAAAAAGAAAACGGGAAAGCAGTGCTAAGGCTGCTTAGGATGACCTAAAGTGCGGAGCCAGGAGACGTGATCGCTGGTGCAAGAGCGGCAATGAACAAGTACAGCACGGAACTCACGGACTTTTGGAGGTTTTCGGCCTGTCAGAATCTAAGCCCGATTCGTGAACATCCAGCCTGGGCCTGCATCACACCCCAAGCAATCTCGAACTCTACACCGCTTTGTCATGAAATCCGGTCCTTGAAGGCATCCGTCCAGTCACTGCAGTAGTGCGGCAACCGCCTACGCAAGTCGAGCCGCAAACCACCAGCAACTTTCCCCGTAAATTCCAAAGGTCCGAAGTCTTTGGTGGCCGTGTGCCGGATATAGCCGGACTCATTGCGGATCACCACCTCGGCCTCAGTCATGACGATATGGGAGCGCTGGCTGCGTGCGAGACGATGCGAGCGAAGGCAGAACCCTGAGCCCAAAAATTGCTCCAGACGTGCGATGCGAAGATGCAAAATGCAGAGTGCTTGCTTGTTACCTCCCTTAGTGCACAGTAGGTCGGGAGGTGCGCAGATGCAGCGCAACTGAGTCAGTGCCCAAGTCTTGCAGACAAGAGAATGGAACATATGCAGGATGCGGCGGGCTGGGCTCGGGAAATTTCTCTACAAAGCGTGGAAACAATTGTCCCGAATCTCCGCTTCTGAAAACTTGGTGTCGTTGTCTGACGGACGGTGATGTTCGAGTGGAGGGCCAAGTTGCGTCAGCATTTCCAAAACTAAGAAGCACCCAACGCCAACCAGGACTATTGGCCCTGCACAACCTTTCAAAACAAGATCCAGCACTGTTCATGCAGCAAAAACATGACCTCCAGTGCCGCCCGCGCTCGCTGCGCCGTCTCGAAAAGGATCGGTGTTTAAGGTCAAGGGCATTCTAATTCTACAGCTGTCCAAGAAGTCTTGAGGGCTCAGTCCTGTTTGCTTGAAAGGTTTTGTTGGAACTTGGCCCGCCGGCCCCAGTCGACCAAAAGGCGCTCGCAAAAAAGCTAGTCCTTCCTTAGCATAATGTGGCGCCGCTTTGCACACACCCACTCTTTATTGCTGGCTTTGGGATGCTGAATTCGGGAATCTGGAAGTGACCAGGACCCACGCAGGTTTGATAGCAGTCTGTATGAAACTAATGAAGTTCAAGTTCAAAGCATCACCGACTCACCAACTGCAACTCTAGCACAATCTCCACCACCTTCACCGTCGCCACCAACCCACCAGCCAAGCGACCCGCGACCCATCCCAAGGACAACCAGAACAACAACCAAGAAAAACAGGAACAAGATGAAGAAGACGTCGACCACTCTGTGGCGACTTGATGGTGCTACAGTGTTGGGGGGAATCCATATTACGGCGACCCCCAAAGAGGGACTCCTATTTCGGGAAACCGTAATCCCTCTAAACCACTATTTCATCCCAGTTTCCAGCTCATTTTCCATTATCCTTTCCATTTGATTCTCCATATCTGACCATGTATACCCCCCATATCTCCCCATATAACCCTCATTACAACCGTATTCGGGGACTGGTTATAAGTACAGTTAGAATAGTTACCCCGACCTGAGCCTCCAATAAGTCCTCAGCCCTAAACCAACCGCATGTAACAACCCTCTGGGACCCTGAACCCCAAAAGCCCAACCCCTAAGCCCTAAAACCTCCTTACAAAAAGAACCCTAAACCCCAAACCCTAAAAACCTAAATCCTAAACCCCAAACCCTAAAACCCAAACCCCTTTTTCGTGGACCCCTACTTTTTGGAAACCCCAAGAAATCCATCGGAGCCATTGTCTAAACTCCTAGCATCCCCCTTAATATCCCCTATAGCACTCCCCCATATAATCCCCTATAAACCCTAAACCCTAAACCCTAAACCTTGAACCCTAAACCCTAAACCCCAAACCCTAAACCCTTTTAGGGGTTTAGATTATAACTCAGATCTGCTGTTGGAAGGGGGAGCCTGGGCTGCGTGGGAAAGGCGCGCTCCCAACTCTGGGCCTGTGACTTTAGGGCTTAAGGGTTAGGGTTTAGGGTTTAGGGTTTAGGGTTAGAGTCCCCCTTAAGTAGATAGAATATGAGGTTTTGGGTTGAAGGTATAAGGTTTTGGGGTTAAGGGTTTTAGGGTTTAGAGTTGTAGTCCCCCTTAAGTAGATAGAATATGAGGGTTATATTGGGGTTATATAGGGATAATGGAAAAGAAAATGGAGACTACCTTTTTAGGGTTTAGGGCTCTAGGGTTCATAGTCCCCCTTAAGTAGATAGAATATAAGGTTTTGGGTTTAGGGTTAAGGGTTTTAGGGTTGAGGGTTTTAGGGTTTAGGGGTTAGAGTCCCCCTTAAGTAGATAGAATATAGGGTTTTGGATTGAGGGTGTAAGGTTTTAGGCTTAAGGGTTTTAGGGTTTAGAGTTGTAGCCCCCCTCAAGTAGATAGAATATAGGGTTTTGGATTTAGGGTTAAGGGCTTTAGGGTTTAGGGTTAGAGTCCCCCTTAAGTAGATAGAATATAAGGTTTTGGGTTTAGGGTTGGGTTTTAGGCTTAAGGGTTTTAGATAGAATATAGCGTTTGGGGTTTAGGGTTAAGGGCTTTAGGGTTTAGGGTTAGAGTCCCCCTTAAGTAGATAGAATATAGGATTTTGGGTTTTGGGTTTTAGGGTTAAGGGCTTTAGGGTTTAGAGTTCTAGTCCCCCTTAAGTTATATTGGGGTTATAGGGATAACGGAAAAGAAAATGGAAACTGCTAATTTAGGGCTTAGGGCTTTAGGGTTCATAGTCCCCTTGAGTAGATAGAATATGGCTTTGGGTATACTATAATAAGATCCCCATATACCCGATATTCTATCTACTTAAGGGGGACTGTAAGGGTTTAGTAGTACTACTAGTAGAAATACTATAACCGTGTGCTGTAATAATATCATTTGTGTGAGTTCCAATAATGTTTTTACTGCGGCTTTAGGTTGGTTTTAATTAGAGTTTAATAGGCATCTGTTTGGGGTTGAATTAGGCTTTAATAGGTTTAGCCTTTAGGGGCTTTAGGTTTAGGTTTAGGGTTTAAGGTTGTTTCTACGAGTGATATTATCACTATTTCCATCTTTGGGCCTACTATGATTATTTGTACTTGTATCAATAGTACTAATACTACTATACAGTATTCTAGTATTGGGTTTTAATGAGCCTTTGAGTTTAAGATTTACCGTTTAGGTGATTCGACTTTGATCACCTTTACCTGCACTTAAACAGATGCTGGTTGGATTTGAATTAGTTCTAAAACCCTAAACCCCTTTGGGCTGTTCTTGGAGGCCCTCTTCACCTAGCACGGGCATTACAGGGCCTTTTAGGGACCCCTTGGTCCCTTCAAAGGGGTGCACCGGGATTATGTAGTCTTGGGATAACTGAAAAGGAAATGGAAAGTACTACTTAGGGTTTAGGGTATATACGGTTAGATAGGGATGATGTAGGGATACTACCCCAGTAATGGAGAATCAAATGGAAAAGAAACAGGTAAAGAAATTGGAAGATGCACGGAAACTGGGATAAAACAGTGGTTTATGGGATTTTGCTTGGAGGCTCTCTTGACTTAGTAAGTCTCCGAGCAACAAGGGTTAAGGGGTTATAGGGTTTATGATTGGGTTCATTCAAGACAGTAAGTAAACATCGAAAGTCAAAAGATCATCCAAGTTGTGCCCGTAACACAGCCTTCAGCCCTAGGTAGTTCCCTTTAATAGGGGAACCCCAATGTAGGCCGCAAAATACTATAATAGCACTGTAATCCGTATAAGGATCCCCAAAACGGGCACCCCTAATTTGGGACCAAACCCCCAGATCGCCCACCAAGAGCCTGAAACCTTTGACCTCCCATGAACCGGAGAAGTTCACGCCTTTCTCATATACAATCGATTGCTCTCACTTGATGTTGTGACTGGTAATTCTTGTGTGGCTCTAGCTTTTGGATGTGATGAACATTGTGCCGATACGCTGTGCTCTTCATGGGGTTCTTTGCTTTGTACGGGACTTCTCGTAGCATGGATGCACAGGCTCTGAAAACAGCGCTTTCTACAGAGCATGCATTGACCGGATCACTATCCGAAAGCTTGGCCTTGATGACAATGTGTCAGAAAGAACCTACTGTGTCATCAACCTAACAAATGCTTAATTTTGTAAGCCACGCTACATCCACGAACTTGTCATCATAACGACTTGAACTGCAAGGAACTCCCAAAGTAGTAGAAGCCAGCTCCCCATGCAGACCATCCTCTTCCTTCACCCGCAAGGTGCTTAGCTCCCGGCTTGGCGGGGCTTGTACCGACATCCTCGTGGCGATGCAAATATCCATGCAACCGTGACTTGCGTGGTGGCGCCGCCATGCCATGTCTACTGTTAAGTACAAAGTACAAAGCGAAGTCTTTTCGTGGAGCTCAACCGCACTATTCCTACCATCTCCTAAACCGGCTTCAGAACCCCACTAAAAATTGCAATTGTTGGTTGTTATTAGGATTATAAATACCAAAATTTAACATTATTTGGAGGCCCCTACGAGAGAATACCCAAGTAAAGTCGTGCCTTTCAGAGATGGCTTCAAGACAGTGATGATTCACTTGATTGTTTGACTTGCATACCCGTGCATAACCCTGCAGAAACCACCAACCTACAACTTCAGACATTTGCAAGCATGGCCCTAAACGCTAAACCCCAACCCCTAAACCCTAAACCCCTAAACCCTAAACCCCAAACCCTAACCCTCCTCCCCCCCCCCCTTTGGGCAGGACTGCAGTGACGAGCTTTGCAGGGCCCGGTCAGATGCTCCATGCTTGCATGGGGGGATATGTGACTCCAAACCCACCACTTGAACGCGTTGGAGAAACGCTGGGTAAAGTTCCATCATGTTGATTGACCTGACCAACCACAATGCCCTCTGGTATGCCACGACATTGCCCCATAAACTGCTCAAAAACAAATTGGGGACTCTAAAACCCACATGCCCACAATAGACTTCGCCCATTGAACGGGCCCTTCATTTTAGAAAGCAACCACCCAGTCGGTCAGACCTGGTAGGCTTCCGGACCGCCATCTGCTCTTTGGCCTTTTTGGGTCAGGGTTGTGTGTGGGCGTTAGAGCATGCTCCTAGCAAAGTTATCAGCTATACTCCACTTTTCCCCCACGCTTGATAGCTAGGCTATGTGTCTTGTTGCTGCTGACACTTTGGATCCTTACTCGCCTTGTTGCTGCTGAAACTTTGGATGACCCGAAGTACCGTAAACGAGTTTGAAATTATGGTAGCACTGGTTACAAATGTCATGCGTGGCCTCACCACCACCCATTATATTATATATAAAAAGCGAGGGGGGGAGCCATTTTTGCGCTTAGATTATGAACTCAGCAACGC